AAGAGAAAACATGAGCAGTGAATACACAGACACAAAGCCCAAAACTCGCTAGCTGGTCACCTGATTGCCTTCTTCTGTTGCAAAAATTCATTTAAGGTACTCAATCATGAAATCATGAATTTCTTAATTCATCCATCATATTTAGGACAGCTAAGATATAGATCCTGTAAGTGCTGTTACATTTTAAAATATATTTAAATAGGAAAAACATTAATTGTAATAAAAACATTTCTGTTTTTACTGTATATTTTATTAAATGAATGCAGCCTTGGTGATCATAAGAGACTTTAAACAATCAAAACAATTTAAAAAATAACATTAGAAATTCATAATTATTCCAAGTACACAGTATCGCCAATATCAATACCGATACGATACTTCTAAATAGGGCTGGGCGATTTTCCCGATTTTATCGATTAATTAGAATTTAATGTTTTGCCACGATTTTATTTTTTTAGAAATCGTGATTCTGAATAGAAATATTAACAAATGTTACAATTAGACACTTTGACAATATGCCAATCATAACAGTAAAGAGAAAAGAACGATCCAACCACATGTCGGCGCACATGATTAACTGCTCACGTGTGACGCGCTCATATTCTGTGCCGTTCACACAGAATGCGCTTTTGTGTTGACAAAGATGCAACATGGAGAGTGGAATAGAAAAAACATGCAAGAAGATGTGAGTGAACTTCTTTTAATTTGAGCACTGCAATTTTATAATGCCATTTCATGCGTGAGATGCTGCAAGAGATGCTAGTGCGAGAGTCAAACACGTCCATGTTTACACATAAAAAACAATGGAAAAGCAGCGCAATCGAATAAAAAACCTGTAAAGAACTACTAGTGTATGTCTAATATTTCATGTTTGCGTCATGGTGACAAGCTGAAAGCTGCTGTTCATTGTTTTCACAGAACATTTATTGTTAATAGTCTACTGGTGTTATACCTTCAGAAGTCAGAAAGAGCTTTATTACCAAGTTTGTTTACACACACAAGGAATTTGACTTAGTGACAGGAGCTTCCAGTGCAGAAGAAAGTACAAACATAGTGCAAACTGGTGTTATACCTTCAGAAGTCAGAAAGAGCTTTATTACCAAGTATGTTTACACACACAAGGAATTTGACTTGGTGACAGGAGCTTTCAGTGCAGAAGAAAGTATGGACATAGTGCAAACTAGTGCAGCAGACATAGGAATTACACAGTAGAGATGGAGTATAACACTAATATAAGAAAAACAGAAAATTAAGATTAATTAGAAATGTAACTGTTTCAATGAATGTACAGATATATTTACAAGTGCGCAGCTTAGAAATGCACAATTTTCGGATTCTATGTATAAAAGCAGTCATTTTGAATTTGAATTACATTGACTGTTGAGAATTTTTTGAAGCATTTTCATTGTAGCCTATTATTTCTGAACATATAACACGTAGGCTATAAGAAGTGTTTGGGAGAAGCTAGCTACGAGTAGCGACGCTACTAGCGTAACTACATTTTTCAGTAGCTTTACAGTAGCGACGCTACTTTTAAAACAGTGTAGCTTTTCCTGTAGCTAACTACTTTTTCTAGCAAGTAGCGGTGTAGCGCGACCAAATGCTACATTCCGTTTTGCATTCTGACGAGTCACGAGCCTGTAATGCATTGAAGCAGCACACGCAACGTCTTCTTCTGACGATATCACAAACTAAATTTTATCATTACCGTCTTCTGTTGTGATCTCACGCATCACACGGCTTTACAGTCTTTCCACCGACAAGAGATCGTCTGATGATATTGCAAAGGATGTACATGAGTGGATATTTCACATGAATCAACTGTAATTTACGCAAAACAAAGATTAAAATGCGGTCTACGTCGAAGATTTAAAGCACATACAGGAGGTATGCTGGTTCCTCCCGAGATTGGTTTGCAGCGGTCGACCTGAAGGACGCGTACTTCATGTGTCGACCCTTCCGCACCACAGACCATTGCTGTGGTTCGCGTCCGAAGGACGAGCATATCAGTACGAGGTACTCCGGGCTGTCCCTGTTGCCCCATGTCTTCACATAAGTTGTGGAGGTACCCCTTGTTCCCCTGAGAGAACAGGGCATTCCCCCAAACTGCACTGGCACGTCAACTACCTCAGAGTTGCTGGCAGTGCACCTTGCCTTGAGCCGTCTCAAACGGCGCTTATGAGGCAAGCATGTACTAGTCCGGGACAACACTGCGACCGCTGCGTACATCAACCGACAAGGTGGTCTGCGCTCTCGTCGCATGTCGCAACTCGCCCGCCCCCTCCTCCTCTGGAGTCAGAAGCATCTGAGGTCGCTTCGTGCTGTTCACATTCCTGGGCTGCTCAACCGGGCAGCCGACGAGCTGTCCCAAGCTGCGCTCCCGGGAGAATGGCGACTCCATCCCAGACGGTCCAGCTGGTTTGGGGACGTTTCGGAGCTTCAGGGAACGAGGGTTACCATACGTAACCGAGACGTTATTTGTAATGTTAATTGTAAAAAAAAAATTATAATAAAAAAATTTGAAAGTAGTTTTAATGTAGCTAGCTACTTTTTGATAGTAACTTGTAGTGTAGCTAGCTACTTTTTCAGAAGGGTAGCTTGAATGTAGCTTAACTACTTTAATTTACGAGTAGCTTGTAGCTGGTCAAGCTACAGTTTCAGAGTAGCTTCTCCAACACTGGCTATAAGACAAGTTTTTACAGGATGTAGTTGTAGTTCATGCATCTTTTACAAGATATTTAACAAGTGATTTGTTTAACATTTACATCATGTTGACAACTTCATGTGTGCTGCACTTAGAATAGGATTTTTTTTAACTAGAGGGTTAATAAAGAAAAAGCTTTTTGAATGATGTTGTAGTAACATTTTTAAGTTGACTAGTTAAAAATCGTAAAAAAAATCGAGAATCGGTCAAACGTTCTGAAAA